AGTTCTAAAAATCCCGAGTGCATGTTTGAGAGTAATTTGGAGTTCTAGTAATCAACCCTCAATACCACCAACATAATATCACTTTTACTTCATTCTAAACTCCCAATAGAATTGTTTTGAGGCTTCAAGTTCAAGAAAAGTCGAAGAGATTAAGCTCAAAGTCAAGAGCAAGAAGAGGAAGGCAACATTCGAGTCTACCTGACTTCTTTTGCCTTTTCTTGAAGATTAAGAGGTTGGTGTGCTCAAATATATCTAGAATTATAATATAGATTAGATAAGGAGTAGAATGATATATATATATGTGCCATACATGTTCAGTTTTTAAGTAGTTATAAGCATGCAAGAAGTTAAAGTTGTCCCAGCTCGCATGAGTGTTTCTTATGTGTTGTTTGCTTGTATTTTTGGCTATGATATAAAAAACCTGGGAAACTATACTTTATATGGATGTTTCTTGTGTAAAACATAAGTTCATAGAATCAACAATCAAGTCAATTAACCTAGTATAACCCGAGTTATTGATTTTTAAAGTTAGGCATGCAAGTTGAACTTTACATGCATGAATTCAGCTGCGACTTCAAACGCGAATAACTCGAGTTCTACTCAGGATAAAATTATGAAATTTTATGGACATGTTTATATATGTGTTACGAGATAGCATACCAAATTTCATGATTTTATCATAGAAAATGCAGGAGTTATAATTTTTAGATCGCATGCGTGTCGAACTAATTTTATGTGCGAGAGTACTCTGTCCACATGCAAGCTATGAATGCAAAACTTTTATGTAAAATACTATTACGAGTGCTGAACATTGTGACCAAGTTTGAGCCTAAAATGTTGATCATGTGATTTTACAAAATTATTGCAATATGCGCATGTATATAACTGAATTTCATGTTATGCTTAACTCATAAGTTTAATAAGCAAATGTAGCCCCATTGACATGAAATTTGGACAGCAAGTACATGTCTATGTCGACTATTTAACAACCAAATTACGTGATTTTTGGAGACTTGTTTGAATTTTAAAAAAAAAATCACGAGGTTAAGAGCTCAATTATGTTCGGTTTAAATTTTAGATAAATGTAATTATTTATCTGTAACCTACCTTATCTGCCTGCCTGCTTATCAGTTATAATATAAAATGATCATTTCAGATTAAGTTTAGCAGTCAAGCAAAATACTTAGATTATTTTGCTGGTATATGTTTGGTAGTTTGAGGAGAGTAGAGCCTCCGACAGCTACTTTAGTTTCAAGCACTTGCAACAGATATTTTCAGTATATCAGGTGGGGTTCATGTACTGGATTCCACATCATATATAATATTGGTACCATGGCAGAGGTATGTTCGAGACAGTTAGTTTTGTCCAGGTGGAGGCCGAGGCCTTAATATCCCATCTGGAGACCCGGTGGAGGCCAAGGGCCTTAATATCCCATCGGGGTGTGCACACGAGCGGCCAAGGGCCGAGGGTCTTTTGACCATAGTAAAGCAAGAAAAGAAAGTTTACAGATTCAGCTCTTATATATTTATGTTCATGATACGATATTATAAATGTTGTTTTATTCAGTACTGGTCTTTGCGGAGCATAGTGGTTTGCTCACGCCCCCGTTGTGTTTTTCAGGAGACAGAGTCGAGCGTGCCGAGTGAGCATAGATGTGGCAAAGCGTGGTCATGAGAGTCTTGGACATTTTTACGCACATTTTATGTCCTAGTATTTATGATCATGTATTTTCGGATATGTATGCATGTATTTCTGTATTTCGGACGCTTCCGCTAGCAGACTAGACAGTGCGAGACAGTTCAGACATTGCATGTTTAATTCCATTATCCGTAGCGGATAGTTTGGTTGCGTGTTATATATGTCTGTGAGCAAGTTAAGTAAGTTTTTATCTGTTACATCCCGCAATCAGGTAGTATTTTCGAAAACCAAGCTCGCACGACCTTTCGAAAATAAAAGCAAAAATTTTACTCTGATTTTCAAAGCTAGTAAGGCGGGGTGTGACAAGTTAAGTTATCAGTTCAGTCAGTCCAGTTCAATAATTCCAGTTATGTTCAAGTTAGTCTATGTTGAGCCCTAATTCATGTCAATAAGTCCAGTTAAGTCATCAGTTCCAATCGAGCATCTTAACAGCTATTTTTAATGAATCTGAGCATAGTACTTAGTATTTGTTTATATATGTTACAGTTTGCAGATGATCAGCACTTACATTTTCAAACCAGCAGTTCAGGTGGGGACTCAGTGGCCGTGCTATCATAGGCACCCAAATTAACCTTGCATAAAAATATGTAGTAGCGTGAGCAAGGATCGTATCCACGGGGAATAATTTAATTAAATGACTGTAACTATGTGATTAAACTGGGAGAGAATTGATTTATAATCCTAATTATCTAATTAACAAGAAAATGAAGAAGGTATTGGTAAAATATTATTAAATAAAAGACTCAAAAGTAACAGCAAGATGAAGATGAATATATAGGTAAAGTGCTCCGGTAGAATAGATTTCTACCCCGAATTATTCTACTGATCCTTGATGCAAATATTATCAATTTATAAATATGTAGATGCCGTTGAATGATGAATTCTGACTCCTAAATTGGCCATGCAAAATAAATCCTCCTACACAACCCTTATTACTAGGCAATTCCCAACATCGTGCAAAATTATCCTAGCAATAGCATTAAGAAGTAGAGCACGACAACACAAGCAACAAATAACTAATCCGTTAAATGCTAACTTGTATAATTATTTTGCCTAAGAATGATAACGCCTAAATCCGGTCAATTACCACACTCAGTTGCTTCTTACGATAGATAAATCATTTAGATCCGACTTAATATCTAACAAGCAATAGATTAAGCGAATAAGACAATAGTTGATCAGGCTACAATCTTAACACAAAATCATAAACATAAACGCACAAAATAATCAATACGAAATATGAATTAATAGATAAAAACTAATTAGATCTCACAGTATTAAGTTCGGGGTTTCAATCGTATTCAACCAAAGCAAAAGAGAATTAGCCGCGCATGGCTTCCATAAAGTCTAGCAAAAGAATATCCAAAAGTCTAGAGAAAAAAAAATAAGAACTTGAAGTTGCTGCTTGTTCCCAGTTTTCTGTCTGCTCTCTTGTGGCTCTTATGTGCTGTGTAGTCTAGGTTCTCCAAGTCTGATATCCCCTTCTATTTATTTAACGCTTGACCTTTTAATATTGTTGTTGGGCTTATTGTTTTGAGGCCCACATTAAGAACTGAATAGCTGTGCACCTTCGTGTATAGAGACATGCCCATGTTTGACAAATCCCAGCGCTGCCATGTTGGTTGTAAGGATCAAACTGCACACAAAATATCAACAAAGGTAGTTTCTACTCGAAGACACATGATAAAGTCGAAAACACGTCATTTAAGCACAAATATCCAACACATAGTCCAAATTTTACCATAAGAGAAACATATATTTTCGACTTATCAAACACCCCCACGCTTAAAACGATGCTTGTCCTCAAGCATCAAGTCAAATCTATTATTCAAATCACAATCATCTTCTATCATCCAATGCCCATTCAAAACAGGAAGTAAGCATCAACACACACAAGTCAAACTTGAGTCCCCATCAACCAACCAACGAGAAATATACCCAACAATCACGTAACTTAAACGCATGGAAATCAACACTTCTCACGAGATTCACTCTTTCACTCAAAGTGTATAGGCTAAATGTGAAGTGTACGCTCAAGTCAAGACATAAAAGACTTTTACCATAAGCTTGCAAAGATATCATGTCTAATCACTCAAAATGAAAATGAATAAACACAAAATCAAAGGGTTAAAATTAGGTTGTAATGAGGCTTAGGGTACGGTGGGATAAGAAAGATAAAGGCTAACGGAATCGAATCAATCATACAAACTCATATAAACCAAGCTCAATACAAGATGATCATGCTATCCCTAATAAACAACCGACATAAATAAAAATAAAAATAGAAAACTGTACACAACGCCTGCTTCTTTTTTTCTTTTTTTTTTCTGATTTTTTTTTTCAGTTCTTTTTTTTTTT